GGAGGGTGGGGACAGTTTGGTGTCTTCTTCAGCTTCGGAGAAGAACACTTTGGGTGCAGAGCTGTTGTGGTGGGGAGAAGGGAATTTCGCCATCACCCAGATGGAGCTGCTGCTTCTTCTCCTTCTTCCCTCTTCATTGGTGGCCTCGCACCCCCTGTCCTGCCGGGACGTGTGGCAGTGCCAGCCACCGCCACGGAGCTGCTGATCCACCTCAGCCACTGGCCCGGGATCTCAGCTCATCCCTGCTGTTCCAGCTGAGTGTTCCTCAGAGCCCTGCAGGAGCACCAGCACTGACTGCCAACCCGAGAGGGTTTGTGAAACAAAGCCTCTCCTCCATCCTTTCCCGTCTCAGCCCAGAAAGCTGTCACGGGGTCCCTGGCTCTGTTTTCTTGCTAACGCTGTAGTTATTGTTGTTTGTTTGCCTGCTTATAAATATTAGTAAAGAACTGTTATTCCTATCCCCAGATCTCTGCCTGAGAGCCCCTTGATTTCAAGATTATCATAATTTGGAGGGAGGGGGTCTACATTTTTCATTCCAAGGGAGGCTCCTGCCCTCCCTAGCAGACACCTGTCTCTCAACACTGAGACATTTCCATGAGTAAATTTTACAAAGTTTTCAATAAAATTCTTATTGATAAATTTGCCTCCATTTCATTTCTAACAAGCTGTTCCTAAAGATCCCGTCAGGCTGCCTTAGACACTTTGGGCAAGGGATTCCTTCCAAGCTGGGCCACTTGGGGGGGGATGGGGGCGGCCCCAGGGCGGAGGGCAGGGTGTGCAAGGGCCCTTTGTGACACGCTGCAGCACAGTCACCATGGGATGGTGGCAACGGGAGCAGATGTCAAAGGGCCCTTTGTGACACGTGCTGACATAGGAGCTGGCGGTGACAGGGCCACGCCACAGTGCTCGGTGCACGCGACGGGTCAGGACGCGCCAGAGCGGTGCTGTGAGGAGCCCCCGCACAGCGCACTCCTTTGTGTCGGACCTGGAGCTTTTCTGAAGCACTATTACTACAGGTGACCTCGAGGCCAGACCACAGGTCTTGCTGACCTGTGGCCTTGCTGAGCCTTCCTTCTTAAGGTTCTCTTGAGGGCAGACCGTGGGACTTGGTGACCCGGAGCTTTTCCGACGTGTCGCCCATCCCTGCAGTCTCTGCCCTTGAGACCAGACCACAATCCCTGTCGAGGAGCCTCCTGTCCTTCTGGCAGGAGCCCTCAAGACCCAAGTGCAGGACTCGCTGTCTTGCAATCTTGCCAGGACTTGAGTCTTGCAGGTGCCTTCCAGGCACGACTGCAGGACTTGCTGACTCTGAGCTTTTCCGAGCCATCTCTCCTGCAAGCAGCCATAAATCCAGTCACTGCCATGGAGCAGCGACCCCCAAGAGTGCCCAAGTTGGCCTGGCTTGAGGAGGAGGAAGAAGAAGGCTCTGGAGCTGTCCTGGCACAGGAGTCTGAAGAGGTGCAGGAGTTCCAGGCACCACAGGAGGGTGAGTTGCAGAGCTCAGCCTTAGGGCTAGTGCCTGTTGCCAGCTTGGCCCCATCCCATTACATGCCATGCCATCCCCTGGTGCTGTTCCTATGGAAAGGATGGGAGAGTCCTAAAGAAGATAGGGAGCAGCGACCCCCAAGAGTGCCCAAACTGGCCTGGGTGGAGGAGGAGGAAGAGGAGGTCGAGGAAGAAGGTCCTGGAGCTGCCCCAGCACCAGAGACCGAAGAGGTGCAGCAGTTGCAGCCGCTGGAGGAGGGTGAGTGGCAGAGCTGGGCCACAGGGCTGGTGCCTGCGGCCATCTTGGCCCCATCCCATCCCATTGCATCCCATCTCATCCCATCCCACACTGTCCTGTGGACACACACCCATGGACAGCACAAAAAAGGGGCTGGGGCTGCCCCCGCAGCAGTGGCCGTGCTGCATCCCCTGGGGCATCCCGGGACTGTCCCTGCCTGGGGAACGCAGGGCTGGGCTGTGCTCTCCGGCCTCTCCCGCAGCCCCTCAGCTCTGGCTGCTCTTTGCCAGATGCAGCCATGGACGGCACACAAGAGCAGGACACCGCCCGTGGCCGCTTCCGCAGAGCAGCGCAGGTACCTGCAGCCATCCCCACCTGCGCTGGGCCTGCTGGCACTGCTCAGCCCAGCACCGCACTTGGAGCACTCCATGCAACTTCCCTGCCTTCCTGCCCTTCTCCTACAGTTTCTTTACCAATACATCACGAGAATTGGCAAGGAAGACACCAGACCTATGGACACTGAGGTCAAAGCATCCTCAGAGGTCTTGGTAGAACAGAGCAGCGCTGCCCAGCTGGATCTGCTTGTAGAGACGGCTCTTTTCAATCCAGAGCAAGTAAGCAGCCTGTGGCCAGCCTTTGATCCTCCAGCAATTGCTTGGCTTTCCCAAGCCACGCCTGCTGCTCACTTGGAGCTTTTGAGGCCATGGCAGCGTGCTGGAAGAGAAGCACTTGTCTGGGGAAGAAGCTGGGCACATTGCTGACTCCCTCTGCTGGCATTCCAAGTCTCCCTGTGCCTTCTCCAGGTGCCCGGCGTGGTGAGGTACATCCACCAGTGGCTCATGGCCAATGAGGCTGCTGAGCACAGGATGGACTGGGCCCTGATGCAAGTGGCCGAGGCAGAGCCCGATGATGTGGCCATCACTCTCCTGCGGGTGGCCCCAACGTGTGACAGGTAGGGGGCCCAGCTGCCCCGAGGCCTCAGGGCTCCCCAGCCCATCACCCTGTACAGCCCGGCCCAGGGCTGTGAGCAACACAGACTTGCAGGGCCCTCTGGCTGCTCCCTTTGCCAGCCCTGCTACAAAGTCGGCCCCCGAGCCTGCTGCCGTGCTGCCAGCCTGCCCCTCAGGGGCCTGTCCCCACAGGGCTGGGCTGCCTGGCTGCTGCTGCCGCTCAGGGGCAGTGGGCACAGGCAGAGCTGGCGGCCAGCTCAGCTCCCCGCTGCTGCCCAGCCCACGGTGCTGTGTCTGACCCCGCAGAGCTGCTATGGCCATGTGGACGACCATCTTGCTCTCGCCCTGGATTTCAGAGGAAGTGACACCGCTCCTCATCAATGTGGTGGGGAGCTGGCCGCAGAAAAACCTGGGCACCTCTGATGGGGACAAGACGGCTGTCTTTTCCCTGACTGTGAGTTTCTGGAGCTGGCTCTCCAGCAGCTCTGTTGCCTCCTTCCCCCACTGCATCTCCCTGCTTCAGGCACTGGCCACAAACCTGGCCTAGGGGCAGCTTCAGGGCCACCAGGCCCGCTGCTCCCCCTGCGCCTGCCCCGGCCTCTCCCTGCCACGCTCAGGCCCTGCCACACGGACGCCCCGGCACTGAGCGCTGTCTCGGGCTGCTTTGTCCTCTGCAGGCAACTCTGGTGATGTGGAAGATCCTCCAGGGGCCCTGTTGCCCACAGATCCTCACAGTCTATTTCCCCCGCCTCTTTGTGCATCTCCTCTTCCAAACGTACTTCAGTACTTTGTATATGACAGAGGACGTCCATACCTTCTGGAAGGAATGCCAGGAGCAACACGGCCTCTCCACCAGCCCCAGCAGGTGCTCCATGCCACTCCTCCTGTCCCTGCCACTTCCCCAGCCTCAGAGCCAGCGCTCCCAGCGTCACCTGGGCTTTGCTGTGCACACAGGTTTGCAGTGCAGACCCTGAAGGCCCTGCTCTGCAGTCTCCACTTGGAGCATGTGGTGGTGGCAATGGAACGCAAGCGTGGCTGGGACACGCTGCTCTGTGCTGACACCCACCACTATGCCGTGGGTCTGCTGGCCAGGTGAGCCCCCCTTCTCCCCACTGCCTCTGACATTTGTGCCCCCTGCCCGGGATGCCCCCCCACAGTCCCCGTGGCCATGGGCCTGAGGGCCTCGTCAGCGAGGGATGGCCAAGGAGACTGCAAAAGGCTGTGAGAGGAGGGTGCCCAGGAGCAGGCACATCTCACGGGCCCACATCCCCTCACAGGGTGCTGGGGCAATATGACAACTGTGTCCATCAGTCCTGGGAGAGGTTTTTCGCACCCTTGCTGAGACTCTTTCTGCCATTTTCTGCCTTCCAGGGTAATGCGCCGTGCATCCGTCCACTTGTGCAAAAGCATCTTAAGCTACCTGCTTGAGGTGCTCAGCAAACCGTTGCCACACTGGGATGTCTCTGCCATGGCATTCCTTGTGGAGGTGAGCCTGATGGCCAGCACTACCTCGCTCAGCTCCCTGCCAGCCCTGTCCCCTGGCATAGCCACAGCTGCCTGGGACGGCACCTGCGCCCTGTGCTGCTGCCTGAACCCAGCCCTGCGCACTTCCAGGCTCCTGCCGGCCGGCTCCCCTCTCACTGCCCTGTGCCTTTCAGCTCCTAGATTGCCTGGACTTGAGTGACTGTGGTGACAGCCTAATGGAGATCTTGTATAAGTACCTGTGGTACAACTCCAGAGAGATGCATCACCAGGTTCTCAGGGCTCTCCTCCTGCTAAAGGACCGTCCCTCCATGGTGAGAAGGGGGCAGCAGCTGAAGCCGTGTGGGCAGCATGAGGCTGGGCAATGCTGTCACTTGGCCTTGGCTGGCCTTTGCCTTGGGCGCTGAGGCAGCTCCTCGCAGCTCTCCTGCCTCCTGCTTCAGCTGCCCGAGTGCTTTGGGACAGCCCTTTGGCCTCTGGGCCCTGCGGCAGCTGCCCGGGCTTTCACACCCTTGTGTTCTGCACAGGCCGAAAGAATTCAGAGCCTGACAGGAAGACTAGTGCACCTCCTGTGGGACTTGGACAGTGACGTGGCCAGGATGAGCATTGCTCTCCTGAGCTATATTTTCCTGGATGAAGACACCCCAATATCCTGGCGCAGGGCCCTGCAGCTGGCTGAGCCGCTCCTGAAACTCCTGGACAATGTAAGGCTCTGTGCCCCAGCCACGGCCACTGCCTGCTGCCCGGACACTTTGTGCCCTGTGCATTTGCAGGCCTGCGCCAATGTGGGCCACAAGAAGCCAATGATGAGGTCATTTTTCCTTCCTTCCTTTCATACAGCCCCATAGCCAGGTGCAGCTGCTCTCCATGTCTCTCCTTCGAAGAGTGATGTCTTCGGCAGAAGAAGAAGGAAGAAAGCCCCTGAAGGAACGAGTGTACCAGAGCCTGCTCCCACTCTTTTTCCACTGCCAAGATGAGAATCGGCATGTGGCAGAGGTGAGGACTCCTGGGCTGCTGCTGCGCCTTGGCAGGGGGCTCAGCTGCCTCCTGCCCTGACGCAGGCTTGCAGGCTGCAGCCTCCTCCAGCCCTTGGCACTGGGACACTCCTGTGCCCTGCCTTGTGGGGCCATTTGCGGCTCTCTGCTGCTCCCCAGGCCTCTCGGACAACGCTCCTTCGCGCGGCTGACTTCCTGAAGAGGCCAGACCTGGAAAAAGCTGTCAGGAAGGAGAAACTGTGGAAGTTTGCCAGGCTCGTGGTAAGGACAGCCTGGAAGTGCCAGCCTCAGGCTAGAGAAGCCCCCTGGCCCCGGTGCTCAGTGTGTGGGGCTGGCAGCTGTGCCCCTGCCCACTGCTGCAGCCGGGGGCCGCACGGCTTCTTCTCCAGCCCCCTGTGGCCCCGAGCCGGGTGCCGATGGAGCCCCGGCCCAGCGGGGCTGCGGGCCGGGCCGGCACCGCGGCTCCCCGGGCAGCAGCCGGCCCTCTGCCCCCTCCAGAGCCCGGCGCCAGCGGCTGCTGGCCGGGCCTCAGGGCTGGCCGGGCACGGGAGTGTCCCAGTGCCAAGGCCTGGAGGAGGCTGCAGCCTGCAAGCCTGCATCAGGGCAGGAGGCAGCTGAGCCCCCTGCCAAGGCGCAGCAGCAGCCCAGGAGTCCTC